AAATAAATAAATAAATAAATAAATAAATAAATAAATAAATAAATAAAATTAAGTCCTTCACACTTACAGAGAGTCCCACAGAAATGCCTATGACAATCACTCTCTTCTTCCCAGCAGCCACCTATGAATGGAGGAGGTGTGTGTTAGAGTCTCCAGGGCAGAGCCCAAATCTGATGGATGAGAAAATCAGGACCAGGGGAGGAGCCACGCCTTGGTGAAGGTTGGGGTTTTTCTAACCCCATGAAAAGGAACACAGAGGTGTCTCTAGGTGAGTAGCAACAGAAAACACAGACCTTCTTCAGCTCCTCAATCCCGTGGAGGGCGCTATCTTCTGTCCGTTCCCGAGAGGCCACAACAGACCTAAGAGCAAACCCAACCAAAGACAATGGTTAGAAAGCAGATGCTCACGGCTGGTTAGGAAAGGGCACACTGAGAAAAGGGAACGGAGGAACGCTGCCATTGAAAGGGCACCTACTGTTTATCAGGAACCATGAGAAATAGACACACCACAGAGTTAAAAAACAACAAAACAAACAAACAAACCAAAAAACCCTCAAATATCTGCAAGTGCCAGGTAGGCGATAAACATCTGTGAAGGGTCCAGATACAAAGCAATAAGGAATGATAGAAACTGAGGCAGGTTCAATATAACCTTTGACTAAACTCACTCAAATTCGGCTTCTAAGAATCAGGCCACCTGTACAGGTCAAGGGAACTCACCTGTCGCCTCCTGCGATGAGGTACGTGTAAAGGGGCTTCTGTCCTAGACCTCTCATCAGCTGGTTGAAAGAGACCTGTCCGGGAGAAGAGGGAATGAGAAAGGAGATTTAATCGATTCTTGATTCCTGGAGGATTGGGGGATGCATAATACTCTTCTTAGGTCAATGCTTAACCCTAACTTAGTTGGAGTCTGCCTCTTAGAGACAATTAATTACTGATTCATGAGATGTGGGGGTGTTACCAAGAGAGTGGTGGGGCTCCAGGGGTGGGGCAGAGGAATTGGAGACCATAGCGGACTCTAGGTTTTAGAGAGGAAGTGGGGAGAGAATATATCTACTGAGAAAACTTAGGTCAGATGAGCTTTATGTTTCTGGGGGTCATTCGCAGAAGAAGAAGAAGCAGAAGCAGAGGAAGAGGAGGAGGAGGAGGAAGAAGAAGAAGAAGAGGAAGAAGAAGGGAGAAAACAGGGAGTTAAGATACTCACAGACATGAGGAATGCCATCCGGCCAGAGGTTCCTCCTCCACTCAGCACCACCAGGCCCCCATCTGGCTCCTGAGGAAGGAAAGAAGCCCAGGTCACCAGGGCCCAGCTCAGGAAAGAAGAAACTTTTTTCCTCCTTTGTCAGTAACAGATGAAGACTTAGAACTCCTTATTCTTCTTCCCATCATAAAATAGAGCAGAACATAGGCCATGTGGGACAGCAAAAAGAACGATGATTTGGAGAAAGAAACCCTCTTGGTTCTCTTCTCTGACTAAACTATTCATTAAAATTCTTAACTTATTCCAGAAGGAACTTGAGAGCAGCTTTGTCAATTAAATAAAAATAAATAATCAAAGCAGCAGCATCTAGCAATTATTAGCTGGGCGCATTCAAGCAAGCTACTGTAACCATCCTTTCTTTGTTTTCTGGTCTGTAGAAAGAAAAAAAATCCTTTAAAAGAAAATAATACTTCACAGGTTTCTGTGAAGGTACTGAGTACAAAAGTATATTTCTGGGGCTAGAGAGATGGCTCAGCAATTAAGACACTGGCTGCCCTTCCAGAGGATGCGGGTTTGATTGACAACACCCACATGGCAGCTCATAACCATCTGTAACTCCAGGTCCAGACAATCTAACACCCTCTTCTGCCCTCCATGGGCACCAGGTACACATACATGCAGGCGAAAATGGCCATACACATTTAAAAAATAGTATTTAAAAAGAAAATGCACAGCTGACGATCAAGTATTATTCATGTAGTAGCTATCATAACTATTGTCGATGACTAAGATAGCAATAAGTATCCAAAGGGAAGACCAAGAGAATAAAGAATTGAGCTTTATAAAAATGAGAAATGGAGACCCAGGAAAGAGGAAGTTAGAGGGAACAGAAGTGTTTGGATAAGAAGCAGGTGGAGAGGTTGTACCTTCAGAACTTCCTGGACTTTGCCAGCCACTTGCAACATGGTGGTCAGAACTGACTCGCTGTACAGTCGCTGTAGAGGGTGGACAGGAATCAGTATGAAGAAAAGGAGGAGAACGGTGGGAGGAAAGCAGTGAGATGGCTCAGTGGGGGAAGGGATTGTGGCCAAGCCTGATGGTCTGGGTTCAGTCCCTGGGAGCCACACGGTGAAAGGACAGACTGACTCCCAAAAGTTGTCCTCTGACTTCCACACATTTCCCCACAGAACAAATCCTTCCACCTCACAAAATAAATAAATATGAAAAAAAATTGGAGTGAAGGAAAAAAAAGAAAGAAAGAAATGGAGGATGGTGGATTGGGATGGAGATGAGGGCTCAGGATCTTCAGAATCAGGAGGGGAGAGGCTAAGGTGTGGCTGGCTTGGCACCTCTGGTTGCAGTGTCTGAGGCTCGACTCTAGGTCACCTGGTAGGTGGGCATGATTTGTCCCTCCTCCTGGAATATCTCAGCATCACACTGCCCCAGCAGCTGAACAATTTTCTCCGCATCTGCTTTGTCCAAGTTCCGGGTCAGTGGGTTGGACTTCTCTGTGATTGGCACAGCTGCTTCATACCCTGACAACTAGAGAGAAGGGGGCACAAGGGTAGGGGTGGGAAGCCAAAGTCTGTTTTACGCCTGCTGGACTGGAGGTGGGAATGGCAGCAGGCGCAGTGTTTGGCTTGGATTCACATATTACACACACACACACACACACTCACAGATGTGTGCCCATACATTCACACATACTCGCACACACCGTGCACATACCGAGAACTTGGTTTTCCTGTGATGTTCTGAGCCTATTAGGGAAGGAAGAACCCGAGGGAAGAGAAGGAAAGGGGTGCCTAGCATGGAATGTATGCCTGAAATGCAGGCATTTGGAAAGTGGCAGCAGGAGGCTCAGGAATTCAAGGCTATCCTCAGATATGTAGCAAGCTTACAGCCAGACTGGGCTAGACCCTGTCTCAAACAAGAAAGAAGGAAGGAAGGAGGGAGGAGAGGAGTCCAGAGTTGAGGCCAGTCCAAATTTAAAGCTATTTTAAGACTCGGTGCAGAAGGCTGATGACAGAGAAAGGGGTTCACCTCCCATTCACCAGGCTCAGGGGTCTCAATCACATGCTGATATCGTTTTGTGCCTGGCATGGTCCCACAGTGTGGACCCTCTGTCCTGCCTGCCTCTGCAGTCACACAAATCCTTCTGGTCACAATAACTTTGCTTCCAGTTGGCAGGGTCTTATCTGAGCCATGGAGATGATTAACCTAAGAACCCTGCCTGTCCAAGCACCACCCCTACACCCCTCTCTTCAACACCCTTTCCTGTCACTAGTTTCCCGGCCCTCACGAAGCTCCTCGGGATCCTCTTTGCATGTACTCTGCTGCCAGCCTCTGCTTTGCCCTTGAAGAAGAGGACCAGAAGTTCATTGCTCTTGTCCTTCAGGCACAGTGCCCTCTGGAAGACAGGGAGCCTGGATGTGCAGAACATCCAGGTCAGAAAGAATCCCTGAGCAAGAGAGCTCTGGGGCCCGAATACCTCAGAAGGCCAGAGGTCAGGGTCAGTAGAAGTCAGAGGAGCCAGGTCATGGCTTGACCACGTGTCAGCATGCAGTCCTTCCCTGCCCCACTGGCCCGTTTTACCCTCTCAGAAAGAAAAGCGACAGAAGCTGCCTGGGCCCCAGGTGCGCATATACTGAGCTGGATGTGACAGAGGAAAATCCACAGAAATAGAAATACTGTAAGAACAACGAGGACTGAAGAACCTGCCCTATATGCAGGCAGCATCTATTTCTCCCAACCCATGCACTTTCTCCCAAACTGTAGGCGTCATTGGATAGACATTGGCACTTAGAAGTCGTTGTTGACAGTCTGTAGATGAGGGGACAGGCTCAGACAAGTGGTTAGTAATTCAGGATCACACAGATTTCACACTCAACTAAAATATGAAATGGTTTTAGGACTTACATGCTTACTGAATGAATGCAACGACTAACAAGTTGGTCCAAATTAATAATACTCATTCCTGCAGTAGCTGAAGGTTGTGTAAAGATCCTTGTCCAGTGTTTGACATTTGATACTCCAACAACTGTTTCAGGTTTCTGTGCTTTACAGGTGAGAAACCTGAGGCGCAGGTTAACGGATTTCTCTAAAACACACACACACACACACACACACACACACACACACACACACACAGAGAGAGAGAGAGAGAGAGAGAGAGAGAGATTTGCCTTTTAAGTGTTCCTATGTGCCACTTTTTAAGTTCTTTCCAGTTCTTATAATGACAGGCACAAAGAAGATGATCAGTAAATATTTGCTGAATAAATGAAAGAATGAATGAGAAAGCGAATAGAATCAAATCAGATCATGAATGGGAAAGAGACTTAAAAGCTGACGCAGTCTCCAAGAGATCGTTAAAACAATTATTATCTCCATCACTTTGCCTCCTCTCCTCTTGGCCCCCTCCTGCCTTCCGAGACGGAAAGCCTCCTCCCAACTTGGCTAATTTCACGCCGGGAAGGAGGGGCTCCCTCAGGTGCCGGAGACCCTAGCACCTGCGCCTGTCCCGGTGCCCTAGTCAGTCCCTCTGCTAAAGCAGGGGAAGCGAAGGGATAGGGACCCAGTGAGCCGCCATTGGGAGGGTCGTGGGAGGAGCCCCGAGAGAACAGGGCTGGGGAGGCGAGGTGGGGGGATGACGGCGTAGAGAACCCCAGTGGGGCGGGGCGGCCCGGCGCGTCCCAGTCCGGCTGCAGCGGAGCGCGCGGGGCCAGCTCTGCAGAAGGAGGCGGCTGGCTGGCCCGGACGGTCACATCCTGCTGCAGGGGGCTAGCTCCGGCCGCCGCACTGTCCTCTGCACCGGGGACGCAGGCCAGCTGCCAGGCCTCGCCGGCAACGCCCCCTGCTCAGCGACAGACCACGCTGGGGGCCCCGCAGACTCGCGGCCCGCGGCCACTCCGCCTCTGCCCTCTCTGCCCGCAGCTCGCCCCGCGCTGCCAGTCTCGGCGGGCCCGCGTCGGGATGGGGTAGGGCCAGCGCCAATCCAGCGATGGGCCGCCCTCTGGGCGCCGAGCAGCCCCCCGAGGCCTGACCCACCACGAGGACCCGGGAGGTGGGTGTGGGCTAATCAGACCGCGCGGGTGGGGGCTGGGGTGGGCGCCGGGGTTACGCGGAGGCGGGAAAGGCGCGGGGAAAATGGGTTGTGGGCCCCGGGAAGCTTGGGAGAGCTGCTGCAGCCCGCTGCTCGCGTTCTGGGCAGCTCCTGCCTCCCTCAACTCCTGCCTCCTCCAGGATCCCCGCCTGGATGTCAAGTGGATGCCTCTGGGGTCCCCAGCGAACTCGGTGGAAACCATGGCTTCTTTGATGCCTCTTTCCCCATATCTGAGTCCCACGGTCCTCCTGCTGGTCAGCTGTGACCTGGGTTTTGTGCGAGCAGGTGAGTGAAGAGGATGCCGGCTGTGAGGGTCTGTCGGAGCCAGTGTGGAGGCGAGACCTCTTAACCTGTTAACATCCTGGCACCCCCCAGACCGACCTCCCTCTCCTGTGAATGTGACGGTCACTCACCTCAGAGCCAACTCGGCCACTGTGTCCTGGGACGTCCCAGAAGGCAACATCGTCATTGGCTACTCCATTTCTCAGCAAGTATGAATCAGCCCGCTTCCCCAACCTGCGCCCTTGGATCTCTGAACATGCCTCCAGTTACCTCCACACTACTCCCTTGGAGTGCTTGCATGTTACAGAGCCCCTCCCGAGCTAACCCTGACGGCGAGGGACTAGGGCTAGGCTGCCCTCCTTTCTCTGCATCTCCTTGCAGCGACAGAACGGCCCTGGGCAGCGTGTAATCAGGGAGGTGAACACCACCACCAGAGCCTGTGCTCTTTGGGGCCTGGCTGAAGACAGCGACTACACAGTGCAGGTCAGGAGCATCGGCCTCCGGGGAGAGAGCCCCCCAGGGCCCCGTGTGCACTTCCGCACCCTCAAGGGTTCTGACCGGCTACCTTCCAACAGCTCCAGCCCAGGTGAGAGCCTGTGTTAGTAGCTTTTTACCTGGCTTTTAACCTCTCACTTCCTTGCTTAAGGCTCAGATGAACAGAGGGATGATTTAATTCATTCTACTGCCAGGGAAGGAAAGAAAAACAGGTGGGCAGGGGACCAGCTATAGAGCCGCTGCTAATGAATCCTTTGGGGGAAGGGCTCATAAGCTTCCTTCTACCCAAACTCATGCCACACCTGCCACAGCCTGCACTGAGCAAGTTCTGTCACCACCCTTTGGCCTCTAACCTCTGCCCACCAAAGGCTTCACCCTGAGCGGAACTTTCCTAGTTCTCCAGGCTCAGTGCCATGATGAACCCAGCCTGACCCTAACCCCCAGCATTTCCCTTCTGCATGTGACAGAGCCCTCCAGTGGGTCCTTTGTAACCCAGAGGATGGCTCTCTTCTTAGGTGACATCACAGTGGAGGGTCTGGATACAGAGCAGCCATTGCAGACAGGGGAAGTGGTCATCATTGTTGTGGTGTTGCTCATGTGGGCTGGTGAGTACCGGATGGGGAACCAGGGACTTGGCTCCATGATAGGAGGAATTGGCGAAGGAATCTGTCAGCAGAAAAGAGAGAGAAAAACAGTGGGGGAGGATTGGTGGAGGGAGGTGATTGGGACAATTCTGACAGAGGGAAGGCTCCTGCAAGCCCAGAGATGAGGGTTGCATGGGCACCAGGAAATCAAGGAGTTTCTAGAAGTTGTGTGACTATCTCAGCACCCTGCAAGGCTTCAAGTGGGTTGAGTCAAGATCAAGGTTCTGATGGTGTTGTTGTGTTTCAGCTGTGATCGGGCTATTCTGCCGTCAGTATGACATCATCAAGGACAACGACTCCAACAATAACCCCAAGGAGAAGGGGAAGGGGCCTGAACACAGTCCTCAGGGAAGGCCAGTGGGGACAAGACAGGTGATGTGGGGACCAGTGAGTGTGAGAAGGCTGATTTGTATGCAAAAGGGTATTCAGTGAAAGGCAGACGAATAGGCAGGGGAGGGGGAGGGAGGGTTGCAAATGGAATGTCCAGGACCAAGGATGGACGAGTCCAGACAGCAGTGTGGCACATTTGCCTTTCTGGAATTCAAGATCTGGATAATTTTCCCTTACAGAAAAAGTCTCCATCCATCAACACCATCGACGTCTGAGTGAACTGAGTGAATGAAGAAGAACCAGAACCGGAAGACAGGCGCACTGATAACGAGGGGGTGGGGGTGGGGTCAGGGAAAGCCTAAGATGGTGATCTGCTTGAGACTCCCACAAGGCAGTTGCACTCCCAGAGTCTCAGGCTGGTACCCATCCTCTTTCCACTGTGAGCAGGGCCAGAAGGTAGGTCTGGTAGGCCCTGGACCCCTGGACCTGGGAGTGGATATGAAAAGAACATCTCCTCCCACCCTCCAGGTCCAGGGGAGAGTCACTCGTTCAACTCCATCCCACGAGGTCCCCAACAGGGGCCCCATGTCACCTGCATCAGGACTACTGGCACCCACTAGCTGCCCCTCCTGCTTGCCCCTGGGCTTCACAGAGGGGGGGTTTCTGTCTGTATTGCCCTCCTCCAGTGAGCGAGAAGAACCCTCTGGGCACAGAGGCAGACGGCACACTGCACTACTCCAATGTCTTCCACGGAGCCTCCGGTGCTCCCCCCTCGCCTGGCGATCTCACCCCTGGGACATGTTTCCAATAAAGGTTCTTGGGCAAACTGGAACTGGCTGTATGGTATGCTGAAGACATCTCCACACCTTGTCAGCTCTCCAAGGGCCCCTCGCGCCACCACCAACCTAAAAGGACAGACTCGTTGTAAGATGTTTGCGTCAAAGTTTTTACCTAAGACGGCTGGAGAAAGAGAAAGAGGAAGGCGTGCGGAAAGCTAGAAGCGTCCCTCCTTTGTCTTTGTCGAACAAGAAGAGAGGAGACGGGAAGTCACAGAACTGTCTGTACCATGGAAACCAGGCCATGTCACATAAAAGGGCCAGTAGATTTTTTTTTAAAAAAAACTTTTCAGGACCTTGTATATACTAGGTAAATGCTCTACCATTGAGTTATATAACCAGTCCCTTCCCCATCCTTTTGATTCCACCACTTGCTCTGGGGAAATGGTCAGAAGGGCTGAGCCAAGTGTCCTGGGGGCCAACGGAAGAGCAGCTACCACTAACGTGTCCCTTGGTGCCATGACCCCTCACCCTGTGCACACCAGTGCCTCTTCTTTTATTTTCTTTTTCATCTACGTCTCTGTTCATTCAAAGTTAATAGTAATTGTAACCCATAAATGAGTTTATATTTATACTCTGTAACATATCCAGAGGATTCTAGAAATAAACTGAGGGGTTTGGATGCCCCTATCGAAAAAAATTATAATTTGGGTTCTGGGGACTATTTGTTACCTGGGAAAAATGGGACCTGTCCTCTACTCATTCTTAATTTTCAAGAGGGATGCAGTAGCAGGGAGAGAAA